TGAAGAACGAAAAACAGTTAAAGGAATTTTGTAAATTTCCTTTTTTTTCCCCTAGCATACGTACTGTCTAAGTTGATGCACAAAAATATCATAGTATTAGAAAAGAATATATGTGTTTTTCGAGGCCTTTTAAATTTGTTAAAATCACCACATAATTGTTACCGGTTTCATAGCCCGCAGCAAATATCTGCTTCTAATTTTTATCTTATTTTATTTTTTTTGGCATTTTAATAGCTATATAGGTATTTCAGTGTTATAAGTTTACTATCATTTAATGTGCTGCGGAATGTTTTTTTATTTTATCAGAGTTTTGGAAACTTTACTGCAAGACAACTGACATTAGGCTTAAAAAATATGCAAACGATCATTATGCGCCAATCGGAAAGAAAAGAAATTTTATAAAATGGAAAGGTGTTTAGCACCGTACAATATAGTCCGTGAAGTCAAAGAAAGCGTCATTTTAGAGACCTTTGAAGCCATATTTACTGCTGACCTGAACCAAATACTCTGATACAACTAGACAACGCGTTTGTATAGTTGTGCTTTGAAATACAATAAAAAAAGTCACTGATGTGAAGCACTTAGTGAGGTTCTCAAACTAAAAAGCTAAAACAGTTGGTAGGCGCCGCAGCAGCACGGGAAAGGCGACGTCACACTATAACGGCAATGGGCTCTGATCAGTAGGGAACTTCTGGAGGGCAGACAGCAAGCTAATTCGTTAAAGCATCGTGTATAAACAGTTGACCAAAGAAATCCGAATTAGAATTTTGAAGAGCTTTGATTCAGCAGTCCTTAATTCAGTCCCTCTTTCGCCAAAATCTTGTTGCCCTTGGATCTTGGCAATATTTTGATCTTTTCAAGTTTTTTTTTATTTCTATGCGTGCTAATTATGCAAATTTTTGGTCTCGTATGTTCAAGTTTATCGATATTTTCGTGTCCGTTTAATTTTATTTCTTTATTGATACCATTTCTTTAGTAATTAGGGCAGTCATGTTGTTTGGAGTAGCGATTAAGTTTTCTTCGACTCCTCTTCATTTTAATTGTTTGAAATTTGAATCAATGAAGGCCATTATAATATCATCTGTAATACCAATAATACATTTCATTAAACGCTTATAGCATAGCTCGCGTTACCAAACAATTTTCTCAGACTGCCAGGTTGCTCGATATTATACTTGACGTTGTCGTAGGATCAGGGCATACAATCTTCGAAGCTGTAGTTACGGCAGTTGCTTTTAGTGAAGCAAAATATACAAATTCGGACAATCAAACGAACATATATATACAGCAGTGGAAACTCCACAATTAAAGATATTGTCGGCAGTCGCAACAGTAGCTACAAAATTGTTGGTCGTTCAGCAGACAATTAAAGTAAATGTTACCAATAAAATAAAAATTTCCATTAAATATGTGGGCCTTAACGTTCAGAAGTTAATTTTAAAGAGACAGAAACAAACTTTTCAGTTTTTTGCTAATTTTATTACAGAAAGAATGCAAAAAACTTATTAATTGCTATCAATTTGACAGCATTTTTAACAGTCTTGTTAGCCTATTGGGAAGTAAACTTTCGGTTGGTAAAGCGAGATTTCCAGGATTCAGTCACCTCGGTAAATATATACATGCATATTTACCGATGTGACTGAGTCCTGGAAATCCAATAAATAAAAACTGTTAAATTCTATTAAGGAGAGGCTAAAGTACAGGTCTGCGAAGTGACGCCGTCCTTAATATACTTGTCCATCTTACGCCAATGTCATTACTGTTTAGTCTTCGGCAACACCAGTAAATTTCAAAGTGAATGAAATTTAATTATACTCTTACACAACACTACCAATATTACGATAATTTCAAAAACTCGACTCATTAGTTGTTAAGAAATCTAAATTTCTTGAAAGTTTAAAAAGTTTTAGAAATACCTAGTTTGTTTAGCCAACCTCTCTTTACCCACCTTATTAGCTTGAACGCTTTATTTTTTGGTGTGGCATTCAAAAGTTGCATAAAAGAACTTGGTGGAGGCTCAAAAGACAGCCTATATTTAATTGAGTCGATGTTCTTTGCATCATATATTTTTGGGTATTCTCAAAAAATTATCTGTTTATTCAAATTGTTTACTCACGAAGCAGTACGCGTGAAATGAATAATTGGTGAGAAGCAAAGCTTACTGTTGTAACCATCTAGATGTTAGGAAGAGGATTTTTTTTGTTGAGCCAAAAATCGACGTGAGTGGTCGACCACCTGTGAGCAGTGTAACTTCCTCCTCCAAAAATAACGATTGATTTTTTCACTCAAATGGCTATCAGTGCCCCTCACTCGGTTTTTAAATAGTTACTTTCTGTTGAGGTTACAAGTAAAACGCAATAGAAAATCTTGTTACTATTCCGTTTGTGAAACGGTTTAACAAATGGCACTTTTTTTAACACCAAAAGTTTATAATGCTGGAAAAAGCGGTCAATCTGGCTGGAGGAAGAAAGAAGAAACATAAATATGTTCTTGTTTTGTGCTGAAAAACTTAATGACATTCGTAGGACAATTAATTTATGGCAACATCTCTAAAGGAGCCTACAAAATGTACAGTTAGCGGTTGAGCTTTATATAGTTATGATTGAGAGAGACAGCCGAGGATCAAAGGTACTAAAATACACTAAATATAATGGTTCTTTCTGGGTCTGGCCTAATGCTTTACAATCAACACTAAATCTTAAATGATTTACGGACAAAGCTGCAAAAAAGGCAGTTTCCTCTTCTTAGAGCTTTCTCTTTTTGCGCGAAATCGAAGAATTGCGAAAGGCAGCCTTGCATCATATTCATAAAAAAAATCTTGGAGAGATTGTTATTGTTTGTTTGATGGTTTTTTGCTAAAGGTTCTTTAGGTGTAGGAGAATCTGCTACGAGGAATTAGACTTTATTCAGGCTTTCTCATACTTCGTTGACTAAACCGTCAGAGATAAGTCTGCAACGATACTATAACGTTTGCAACGTTATTACCGGCGGCGAAGGGGTCTTATAGCAATAATATAGCATTCAAACGATTCAAAACTTTCCCAATAAAAGCGTCAGGAGAGATAAGGAGGAAGAAAGTGATTTAGGATGGAACACGCTAGGCCTTGGTTTCATACAATGATCAGTGACTTTGTATAAAAACACCAACTGTATGTAGAAAATCTTCAAAGCTGTCAAAGAAATTGTCATGGTTGTTTTGCATTTAAAAAAATGCTACGACAGTTAGGCTTCAAATACAAATAGCAAGTAATTAAGTTGGTTATAATTATTACATTAACAATTTTAAGCGGCTTGTTTCGGTCTTATTTTGCCCTCTTTATTTCTTTCATCTGTTGGTAAAATTCTCGAAACTTCCAAAAATCTCAGCACTTCATTGATAAAAATCCCAGTCATTAAAATAGGGTAAACGTTTTTCTTAAGGTAGTTGCTTTGGTTAAACGCTCCTTTTAACTTTAAGAGTCTATCTGGTTTCTAGAATAGGGTTCGATAAAGTTGTTATTACGGGAATTAACGGCTTTTCTTGTAAATTAAGCTTGTATTTTCTTCCGGCTACACCTTTCTTCTCAAAGATAGCCAGTTTTAGAATAGATATTTTTATTTTGTTTCACTTGAACGGTAAATGGTTCTTCACATTGTGGCGGTAACATTTGAATTCTCGTCATTTGTGCTTTAGTATCTAAAGTGACAAGAAAAACTTGTTTTTGGATCAATTGAATCACTGTAAGTTTTTACTGACAGAACAGTGTGAATTATACGTTGCTTATTTGGAGAGAGCCGTGTACTAGCCAGCACATGGGAGAAAAGCAGACTGACTGATGTTCCTTGAACAGAAGAGAACCTTCCGGGTGCTGCAGACACAAGAATGGAAAAAGACAGACGGTTACTGCCGAGGACAAACCACTTAGTTTTATCACGGAGAATAATTGCATATCGTCAGTTTTTTCACCTTTTTAGAGGTTATAGTTACTCACCGGTACAAATTTAAAGCTTTCAGTGTAAAATTGTCAAAAAGTAATTTGTTTGCTGTTAACTTCATTTAAAAATTCTTGTTCCATCCTGAATTTTTAGACCTGGACGAGTCAGGTGCTGCGAAAGCGTCGAGCAGTAGAAAAGGTGTTACTGTTACGCTTGGAGTCTTTAATAAAACAATTTCAAAGCAGAATTTCTTAATAAAATTTGTAAGGGTAAGCAAAGGAACTCTACAGTTTTTCTTATAAAAGGTCTACCTATTGTAATAAAAGTTATTGCAGCACACAGTAGCTGAAACTATAGAATAAAGCCAATCAAACCAATTCACTTTTTGGCGTTGCCGCAATAATGTTGAAACAGCGACTAGAAAATTTTTTGAATTGAAGTCCTTTCTTTTGTGATACCAAAGTTTTAGTGTTCATTACCTTTAAAAAGACGAAGTAAGCATAAATAAGCTTTAATTAGACTTGCTGTATGTATCAACATATAAAAGTCGGTCAATGAACGTCATCTTTGAAGATTTGACTGCAGTCATTTTTGTTCTTTGCTTCTATCAGGTGGATTGTAAAAACAGCAAAAAGTTGGTGAACTGTAGCTGTAACTACTGGGGTCGCATGGAAAGTACCATTTGAAATGTCTTGTGAAAGTAAGTCATAGTGGAAAACGTTAGGCAGATTTCAATTTTGGTTAAAAGCGTACGCGAAGAAATTGTTAATTTTTTATAAGTCGCTGTACAGGAAGAGTTCCTCCGAGAGCCTCACCGCTCTTCTCACCTCATACTTATTGATATCTTTCTCACATCGGAACATATTAGAAATCGTTAAGCAAAAAAAATTTCCAACAGACATCTATTCTGTGACATTCGCTTCTATTCGCTTCATTCCACTGAATTGAAGTATACAAATATTAGTCTTTTAGGTATCTTAATTGTGTATTTTTCTAGATCATTCTCTTCCAAGTAAGTTACAAAGCTTCAAAAATAAAAAATAGACTGAAGATACGTGATTTTTACAGAATAACATACATTTCTGTCCAACTAATGGTAAATGATAAGATGACCACCAAACAGATATCAAGCAATATTTCCAAATAGCCAGTACAATAAACATGTACGCTGTAGCATCTTGACCTTCAAAATTTTACTCTTATAGAGAAAAAGCTTGGACAAAAAAATAAAGTATAGACCAATTTCAATTGCTAAATGACTGGCATTTTGGAGGCAGAAAAAAAGAGCAATCAAGAAATGATCAATGAGACTTTGAGACTGGAAAATCAGAAAAAATTTTTGTTGCTGGATTATAAAACGAGTAACCACGTCTGCAAACCTTTTAAAAACTGATGCGTCTTTGCCCACCAGCAGTCAACATTTGCCTTAAGAGGGCTTTCCAATCTTTTAGCACTTTTCTAATTTCAATTTCTTATAAGAAACTGCCACATTGAAGACTTTGAATAGAAGTTGTAACCTTAACGTCCACTCCTGAAACTGTGCATATTTGAAACGCTGCTACAAAATGTGCTACTGCCGCCGCTTTGTTCATCGTTAGCTTACTAAACAGAAACTTCGCCTTTTTTCATTAGTAACACCTGTTTTTTAAACACTTTACGAGTTTAAAAAACACACACTCTTTCACTGTTGCTATAAAACACCAAAAAAATCAGCTAAATATAGCCCCACAAGCGAACAGAAATCTTCTGTATAGTCAGTCTTCAAAATTTAAGTGCTCATATCACTTTAGTGTACACCTGACTGTTGACCCAAGTAAAATATTAGTTAGAACTTTATGGTTTTTCCCACCTTATATCTATCCATTTCCCCTTTTAAAACCTCATATTTCTGCTCGCAAACGATTTCCACTGAGCACGTAATTCACTCCACTGTTCTCCACTGATCTGTCGAAACGAAGGGTTACGCTGCAATGTGCTGTGGGGTGCAGTAAAATCCACAGTTTCAATTCTGTCACTGTCAATAACAAGTTGTTTTTTACAAAGTCTAAACAAAAGAACTGCTCATTAAGAAATATAAAGAAACGGTAAGTGTGAAAATTACTTTAAGAGAGGAAAAAGCCTTTATAATTTCACTAAACGTCGGTCGCTTCTTAGATGTCTCTTCAAAAAGGTTTTCAAGCATTACTTTTAGTTCAGGAATTAAGGTTTCTGGTAGAGGAGGACGAAGATTGCTGTAAAAATTCATTAATTGTTTATCAAAAAAGATTTAGAAAAATACAAGCTGTACATTTTTCATCACTTCTTCAGCAAAGGTAACGAAAGTAATTTGCTACGAACTAACCCATTTTGCGCAACCAAAACAATTTGAGGTAGATTAAGATTGGCATTAGGCCTCATCTCCATTAATAGTTCATATACCACTGCTCCAAAACTCCACACATCACACTAAAACTTGAAAGAGTTTTTTAAAAATAAAACTTCTATGTAAACAAGATGAATATTTTGAGCTTTAAAAATTTATTTGCACAAATGTCAACAATATAAAAAATTTTTTATTCAGACACGTTTTTCACCAGCCTTAGTAGAATTCCGTGACCCACTCAACATTTCAGGGGCCATGTAATGCAAGGTACCACAAAATGTTGCTTTTTCGCTGTGCGATAAAGTCCACTCTCGAGCAATTCCAAAATCACATATCTTTATCAAATTTGCAGTGCTAAGAAGGATACTGAAATCGCGTTTTGTTAAAATAGTATGAATTGGAGCTGTAGTGATAAATTATAAAACCAAATGTTACTTATCAGGTTTGAGATCACGGTGGATTATTTTGTTTAAGTGCAGAAAATTCGTTCCGTTAGCGATTTGTTGTCCCCAATCGCAGAACGTTTCTTTCCGAATTTCATAGTAACCGTAAATCAGATCTGTTAGTGAACCGCGTTCACAGTACTCCATTAATACGTATCTATCGTTGTTTTTTGTAGAAAACCCTCTGCAAGCTCACTCGTGACAATGAACAAACTAGTACTATACTCAGCACAACCTCATGAATCGCCAAGTTCCTATACGTTTGTCTATAACAGGTAGTGTACGAATAAAACGTTTAGCTGAGAACCAAGTGTTCTGAATACTCACAAAAACCGAATCAAATTCTGATGATGCAGTTGAAGCAATTCAGAAATTTTCGCCTTTTCCTCTTTAGACACTTTTTTAACAGCAACCGGTCTTCCTTTGTATTCAGCTTTATCTACTTGTCCCTGGGCGCCTGCTCCTATCTTCTCCAATATTGAAAGTGAATTAAAGGGCACTTCTAGTCCCCCTATAATTTCAAAAATTTGACAGAGATATCAACAAATAGTCAACTTAGCGTAATTATCTACGCAAAATAAAAAGAGTAACTCTGCACATTACCTTTAACGTCCCTCTTAACAAAGACTAATGTCAAACTGCTTGAAAAAATGTTTTTAATAACGCTGCATTGAATTTGACAGTCTTACAGCCGTTTTTCAAAATTTTTAAAAGTTTATAGACGTTAAGATTCAGAGTTTGCGGTTACAAAGTGAAATAATTTTACTTTCAAGGATGATGACCAATTTGTGGAATTTGAATAATAACTGAATAATTTGTAACAAAAAATCGTTTTTAATCGTTGGCAAAAAATTTCGCTAAAAGTCATGACTAACATTCGTCGTCTCAAAAGGTAATTGGAACAATTCTGCTTTTACCATCAAAACCTTTTGATCAAAGTTTAGATTTGGAAACAATATTTGGATATGCTTACTCTTCAAGGAAAAAATACTTTTTTAAGCTATAATTCTGTTAAAAAAATTTAATTTTTACAATGAAAATGACGTTCTTAATTTGACGTTTAAAAGCATTTTTTCTTTTTAAGGGCTGTGGTTGATTGGAAAGTTATGACAAATTAATTGTCAGTGATCAGCAGAGGAAAGCTATTGGAAAAGCTATTGACTAAAATTAGTTATAAATCACTGTACAGTTTTATTCCACATATCACTTAAAACCTGCTGTGGAGAAATATAGTAGGCTTTTATTTGAATATGTTACAGCAAAATAAACAAGAAATGGCCTTTTTTTCAGCACTTTATGAATAGTTTGTTGAAAAAGATTTACGTTAAGTTATGTTTTTACTCTTAAACTTTTAAAAAAGTTTGACTGTCTTCTACAGAAACTTTTTCAAAATAACAAGCTCAAACGCCAGTTTTACAGGCTGAAAAAAAAAACCTAATTAAATTGAGCTTGTGAAAAAAGAATGCGTAGAATGTAACTATAACTATGATATAACTATGAGTAGAATGCACACCTGCTTCTTTTTGATCAGCAAGAAATTTAACAACGTTCTTATGTCTCTTCATTTTGGCAAGGTCAAGCGCAGTTTCCTGAAAAACAAAAGCAAACAGTTTAGTTCACTAGTTGTAAAGATAATCTCCTCGAGACAATTATTTGATAGTGGTTGAGAAAAAATGGAATTTCTCACTGTAATTTGAATTTAAAGTTTGAAAAATATTTTTAATGACCGCTTCATTTACTAAGTACTGAATTCTTATTTATTCAGACAAGAAATTTCTTCTTCAAATAGTAGTTTAAAAAATTCTTATTTTCGAAGAAATGTACCTGGTTAAGATGAATGTCTCCATTACACTTTTACACATATCCAAAACAGTAAGAACTCTAATGCTTTTCTATACTTTTAAAAAAACACCTTACGAAATATTTTTAAAAGTTTATGACAAATTTTGAGTTATTCACAACCACACCTCCTCAAAAAAGGA